TTGTCTAAATACAAACATCCAAATACAGCTGGCTTTATTTGATGATCCATCTTAACAATTCTCAGTATGTTCTGTCTACTTGTGTTGAACTTCTTTGTCTCTCTTCCCAAAACCATACCACCCACATCCTTTAAGACCAAGCACTGTGGTGTGATTTCCATTTAGCTTACCTTGATCCCAACAACTGAAAGTGCTCACTCCTGCCTAATAATTCTACAGTGTTTCTACATCTCAGGTAAAACTTACCACTCTCAACCTTGGATGTACAACTCCTTCCTGACCATGGCTGAACCAACCTTTCTAGCCTGTTGTGCTCCCCACCCTATGTGAATCTTTCCCAAAAGTACACATTAACCCAAAAAAGTCACTCTTCTAAAAATAGCAGGAGGATGCTGTTTCCTTAAGGATATTCRTATTGTTGAGTGCCTCTTCCAGAATTCACAAATACTCTGTCCAATGATTTAGATGGATATATCTATGTTACCCCTAAGAAGTATGCATTTTTTTGTGTGGAAACAGATCCCATCTGATTCATCTTTAGACCTCATAATACACACAATGGCATCTTTGAATGTGGCTAATTAAATAACTGTTTACTTAATCCAATAAAGAATACACATTTTTGTCATTTATTTTTAAACCAGTATGATAAAAGAATGAAAAATACACTGATGTAGATATGTAGAAAAATGTAGATATAAAATTAAAGTTGGAAAAAGATTTTACTCTGCTGTTCTCCATCTACTTTCCAAATTCTCTTTTTAAATACACTTGCCAATGTCTCAAATGAATTATCTGATATCACTGCCTCCGAATCATCAGGAACAACTTGGCACCCATGCTACACACTCTACAAACTACAGTTTTTATTGTTATCCATGATTTAACCACCAACCTAAAGACTCTTCTCAATTCCTGTTATTATTTTTAATATCTATGGAATTCAACATTGAGGGCCACCCTATTTTCTTTTAATTTTTAATAATGGAACCACGTTTCCATAGCTCTCTCCCAGTTTGCAGGATCCTCTTCTTCTACTTCCTGTAGGTGGACAATCCCCTAGTCTTCGCTTATTCTTTTATTCAATAAATGAATGGGCATTGACTYTCTTCCATAGCAGAGGCAACAAGCCAGTGAACACACAATCCCACCACATGGTAAAATACAACAGTTACAGTGCCGCAAGGTGCTCTGGGRGCAGAGCAGATGCCTGGCTACATCCCTTACTGTTCTCTCTTCACACCCATCCACTGGAAACTRCCTCCTCTTTTCATCCTTCAATAACTTCTGTCCTGACCTGTGTGTAACTGTCCAATATTTCAACCGTTGTGGTATGTCTCCACTTTGATACTCTGTACTCCTTAAAGTCAACAAGAAGAAAGATCACGAAAGAGAGCTCTGTTACTTACAATGAGCCATGAGCTGTTCTATGTGCATCTGTTAGCTGATTAATCTTCATTAAAACCCTGTGAATTAGGTACTAGTATCATTTACACTGTGAAGAAGGGAAAATGAAATGGAAGAGTTTAAATAGTTCAATATTGCATAAATCAGTAAATGGTAAGGTTAAGGATTCAAGGAGTCCAAGTTCCAAAGCCACAGTTCTTAAACATTACTGTGCTGTCCCCAGACTCATCCTGAACCAGCTTTTCAACAGAATTTAGCTCATAAATTAACTTACTTGATGGCTTTGGAGCCCATAGAAAGAGAGATCATCAAAATTTTTAGACACCTAATTCAACAAAGATGACTGTAGTCAGACAGTGAGGCAGTGTGGCCTCTCACTAAGAACTTGATTTCAAGAATCAAAATTCTTGGGTTCAAACACAACTTGAGCTACTTAATGTCCACATTGCTGACTCCAGATATGGACAGGAAATATATCCTAGCATTCCTGAAACCAAAGAAGCTGTCCAAAACTTTACTGGCCATGACAGTAGGCAGGAGCCACCTGGAGGGGTTCCAATTCACAAAGCAGTTCGAATGTAGAATGTAGGAATAATAATGAGGACCATATTCTGAGGCATACTGAGTGTGTGTGTGCGTGTGTGTGAATATACATGCAAAGAATGAGGTGAATCCATAATGATGCTCTGCAAAGACGATTCTTAAAAAGTTACTAGGGCATTAACCACCTTTAAAGGTTACTAGGGCATTAACTTATTACTCTGAAAATTTATTAATAAAGTCAAATACTCAAATATTTTTCTCCTATTTGTTGGTGATAGGGGAAGAAAAATTATAGCTAAGTAGTGAAAAAGAGTAAAAATTGGAAAACCACATTTTGGCAATCACTAATGAAATAATAGATTTCGAAGATGATCTTTAGGGGATAATACAATAGGTAAAAGGCTATAGTAAATGGATTAGGATGATAGTTTCCAAGCCCATTGATCATGACATTAATAATACTGAAACAATTTGATGTTATGTTCCTTTGTTAGAAATACAATACAAATACACAGCACCACCAATGCAGTCCTTCTCCCCAAAAGTTAACCCCCAATGTAAATGAGTTGCTATACTTCAATATTAATTTATATAAAATATAAGCAGGAAGGAAAATTGTTTAAAACTAAGGATACAAGCAGTTAAAATCAAGATATGGGGAATCCCACAGTAAAAAAGACCCAGTTTATTTAACAAATAAATAGCATGAAAACATATGAGAGGATATTGTTACAAATTTAAAAGACACCTAAGGTATCTGTCCACAAAAGGCAGTGCAGGACTTTGAGTTATGATTTGAAAAACTTAACTGTTGAAAAAAAAAATAGTTGAGACAAGCAAAAAAAAAAAAAAAGCAATTAAGGAATTACTAATTTTGATGAGAGACAGGTATGTCATTATCTTTTTAAATGTTATATTTTAAAGAAACAAAAGGAGACATTAACAGATGAAACTGAAAGAAAAACAGTGGGGTAGATTCCACCTCAGGAAGGTGGGGCAGAGGGGGTGAGGCCAGGAGAAAAATGCAGGTGGCTGGGAGCAGGTACAGGGGTCTCTGCTGATGGGCTGTCAAGGCCGACAGCCTGGGGTGATGCTGTACTGCAAGATTGGTCAAGGGTGCAAGAAATTGCTCTGTATTATTCCTTCCAGTTTCTTATGAATCTCAAAATTAATAATTCAATGAAAGAAAATAATCTGGCAGCGCCAAGGATAGCTGAAACAAGAATGGCAGAAAATCATATGGCTAGGGAAGACTGCAACCCATTTCGAAAGGGAAGAACCCATTTCCATTTTCTCTTTCTTCATTGGCTTGAAAATTTCCATAGCAAAAAAGGTGCTTTCAGAGGTGAGAAAAGAATACCATTTCTCTGCAGAGTGGAATCATCATCTGATTTTCCTAACTGTTCTATTTCTAGTTCTTCGAAATCCCATACCACTCAGGCATCCTACACACTCTTGCTAGCTTTTCCTTCTAMGAGGATATTTTGACGCTGTCATTCCTTTGCTGATGAAGAAGCCAGTTACTTCAGGATAAAGTCCACATGTCTCCAGATCCCTCTCTGTCAGTCCAGTGCAACCTCCTGCTCACCCCACACACCTTCTCCCTCACACTTCTCCGCAAACTTCAGGGCGACTCATTTCATAGTCCCACAAGTGCGATGCTGGACAAGGTGCCTTTGTTCTGGCCAGGCTTCTCTTTCTCTTCTGCACTGATCTAAGTCCCACCCATCTTTCAAAAAGCAGATTAAAACCCACCTCCTCATGAAACTCCTCCAACCTTTCCTTAAGGTAACTCTGAGTCTCTTCTGAGCGAGGACTGTATATTATAGCACAGAGTCTAGCAGATCTTCTGACACAACCTAAGTTTTGATTTAACGGAATGAATATACAATGTAAAGCCCTGGAGAGATTACTAAATTATAGAAAGAAATAAAAAAGGAAGTAGAAATGTTAAAGAGATTCAAAAGTAAAAATTGGAACTCGGTACATTTGAATTTCAGACAGCAATACATATGTAAAGTTCACTGTGTCACCTTAGGCCACTCATCAAACACACCTTGGCAGTGGATACTAACATGTAAAATGAAAGATTATACAGAGTTCCCACTTTTTAACAGATAATACTGTACTTGTCTCTGGAAAAAAGGTTCCCAAATGCTCTGATGGATTCTAACTTGAAAGATCATTTATAAACTATACTCATGAATACAGGCTAAATTTGATATGAAACACAAAAAGCAAAACCATATCCCTCAGCTGCTAGCTTTTAAACACAACTGAGTTGATGAGAATAAATTGCATGAGAGACCACAGGAACTGGTCTACCATCTTTTACATGCAGTAAATTCAATGAGACTTCTTAAACACCTATATGCCCTGGGGGAGATTGATACGATCTCTCTCCCTGTTGCATGAAAATTTTTCCATCCTATAAGTTGGYGCTCACTGTCCAGGATGCAGGGTATGAAGGAAGAAACATGTTCAATCCAAGAATATGACCTAGTCAAGAGACCATCACAGTCTCCAAAATAAGGAAGCTGAGGCTCGCTAGGACAGGAAGCACACGGAGAAGAATACAGGACAGGGTTAGGAACTAAGAGGATAAATTCCACTTTGCCTTAAGAAAGGGCTGTTGCTCTCTGAGCAGGCCTTGTGTATGCAGGAAGGTCACAACTCAGTCTGCCCTCAACTGACTCCCTGGAAATTCCCAGGCTGGAAGAGAAGAGAGTTGTATGAAAATCAGCTCTACCCATCACTGGACCTCCCTGAAACTCAGGGCAACTACCACCAAAGAGACTATCATGAGCAAACGAATGGGGAGGAAGCACCCTTGCTCTAGAACTTTGATTTGATTAGGCTGATTCCATGAGGGAGCCCAGTGCAGTCAAGTGCTGGGCCACGGGATGAATTTAGTAGCTTAAGCACGGGACCTTGGGGATCACTGAGCAGAGGTCTCAGTAACCCAGAGAATAGTCAGGGGGAAAAAAGCAAGGAGCAGCAATTCATTTTTCTCTGCACTGGGTTTGCAGCACCAGGGTCCTGGCAGTTACCTGAGGTTTCTTCACCTTAATGATCCAGGTGGGCGGGACTATAACGGCAGCATGAGCCCCCAGGGAGCAGGGTTCCTCAATGTGATGCAGCATGAAACAGGTCACCTTATTGTGAAACTGAAGAGAAAAATGGGCTAATAAGCAATTCTAGGCAAAAGGTAATGTCACAGTAAGAAGGAGTAAGTGCATGCACACACACCATGCATGCACAACCACCACCCCCCAACACACACACAGGCGCGCGCGCACGCACACACACACACACACACAGACACACACTCACACACACACAAAGGGCACTTCCTTCTCAACACCACCCCACCAGCCCCAGGATCTTAGAGACCAGCTTTCTATTCTGCCAGTATAGACTTTACCACAGTTATTAAGGAGAAATCAACATGGCAGAACAAGGCAGAAACGTGGAAGGTTCTAGTAATCCCGACTGCACACAGTTGGGTTTCTTCCCTGGTGCTCGTCACAGACTTGGTTGAGTAAGGATAACGTGGAGAAGGAAATGAAGGCAGCTAAAAGGCAAGGCCGGCCCTCTGCCTCTCCTTTTTCCATCAGAGACAGCAATCCCCCCAGGTTCTCTCTCCAGTTAGAGAAGCCAGGAGAGAGGCAGGATGTCCCCTCTAGAAAGTTAGGAAACCCCGAGGTAACAAAGTATAAAGAGAGTGCCTGGGCTGGGGTGGTGGCTCAGTGGTAGAGCGCTTGCCTAGCATGTGTGGGGCACTGGGCTCGATTCTCAGCACCACATACCAAAAATAAATAAAATTTAAAAATTCATCAACAACTAATACAAATATTTTTTAAAAAGTATTTTTTAAAAAAGAGAGTGCCTCTGCTCCATTCCTCAACAGCCTTTTAAAAAAAACAGTGCCCTAATACACTTGGCAAGCCTGAAGTGCTTTTTGGTTTTGAAAGGAAGAAAGGAAGCAACTGCAGATTAATAATCATAACAGCACCTCAGTGTGAGGGGCTTAACTGGGCACCCCAGCTTGAGGCTGGGACTGATGGCCAGGGCCATTCACACACATTCACACACATTCACATCTTTTGACTAGAGTGATAGCAACGTGCAGTAACATTTATCTTCTAACAAACATAAAATCAACATTATGCAATAATTAGGGGCCTCAGATTTTAATTATAGTGATTTCTTCGAACTTCATGTCAGTTTCGACTTGGTTTATATTTATTGTGATCATATAATTTATCATTTTAGTTGGAACAATTTGAAAGTGAAGGGGATCACTGATAATAACTATGTGAGAAAAACAGACATAAATCAGGACTCAGGAAAACTAGCAAATAGAGCCACTGTAATTTTAATAATACTTTTTCATGTTTGCATATCTTTAAGATCTGCTGTGATCCAGTAGCTAATTACTAATTGGTCAATTAAGGATAAAATACTTAATAATTTTCCTTGCCACTAGTTATTTGCATTTTGCAAAACATTAAATTTTCCAGAGGAATGATATTTGAATGCCTTCTTTCAAAAAAAATGTTTTAATTGTGTGTCTAAAATTTTCATGGTCTATCTACAATGGTGTGGGTCTCAGAGACTGACAAAGTGAACTCTATCAATTTGTATTTGAGTAATCTCCAATCTAGTGACTAAGAGGCAAATTCAAGATCACACAGCTTTTAAATGGTGGAACCAAGATCTCAATGGAGGAAACTCAGCTACCTAATCCAAGGTCCATTCTTGTGTACCATAGAGATTCACTTGTTTACCTATACTGTTAAAATACATCATGTTTATAATATGTGTGAAAATTTTTTTATTTATAATACTTGACAAACCACCTTCTACCATGTGAGAAAGGGGGAAATTCAGATTCATGTGGAATCAACCAAAGGTCTGCCTTAATGGTCAAATGAAAGTTCAGTCTCTGTATTGACTCAGTTGGACTATAAATTAGAGAGCATACATGTTCATTGGAAAGTGGGCTTGCGTTTCCAAATTGACCCTGACAGACCATCTGACCCTACCCTGGTAGCAACATGTTGGAGCAGATGCAGCCTTCTGAGCCCAGCTGCCCAGGATGCCATCTCACCAACAGGGTCTCACCAGGTCAGGGAGCTCAATGAACCCACTGCAGCATCAAAGTAGCCATAGGTGATACATAAATGCAAAAAACAGGGACACAGGGTCCATAAGTAACTAGGCATGGCTGTGTTTTGATAAAATTTCTTATTTATAAAAATAGGTGTGGGCCATATTTAGCCCTGGGGGCTGCAATTTGCCAAATCCCAAGTAAGAGTAACAGAAATAACAGGCACACTGGCCGACAAGTATGAAAATGTTAGCATCTAGTTTGGAGAGAGAAGTGAGGTGCTTTAAAAAAAAATTGAGGGGACAAAGGGAGATAGAAAAGAAGAAACATAAATGGGAAAATGACCATGGGACACTAACGTACATACATGTGCAAATGTAAGGAAGAGCTAGATATCAATGAACATACAGATGGCATCATCCCAATCTAGAGAAACCTGAAGAAGGACACAGGAGATTTTCACACTGAGTGCCACCAAAAAAAAAAAAAAAAAAAAAATAGTCACCCATGTCAAAACTGGAGGAACATGCCTGGACATCTGCATTAGAGGGTCTCTCCTGTTGACCACTGCTCTGTTCCCAATGCCAACCTGCCTACCAGGAGGAGTTCTCAGAATCTAATGGAAAGGAAAGAAATGTGGTCCAGGAGTGAGAAGCCCTCTGTTCCAGCCCCAGGACTGGCACCATGGGAGGACCCCCCAGTCTTTGGGCCTAGGCTTCTCAACATGTACAAAAGAAAGGGATAAATGTATTTCTGTAGTTTCTCTCAGCTCATCTGTACAGTTGTTCTATAGTTTTGCTGTCTTTCTTCCTTCAAGGATTCTATCTGGAAAAGTAGTATGTTCCGTCAGGCTCCTGTTCCCCTGGCGGACAGGAACTCAGGCACCGACAGTGTATTTTGGTCGCGTGAGCCCACGTTGCTGTATCTCATCCCAAACTTACCGCCTGCTTGCACCAGGAACAGCTGATGGCCACGATCTCTTTACTGTGGAAGGAGAACTTTTGCTGGAAGCCCTGGGATATTAGGACAAAAGACACAGAATTTAAAACCACCTAAATCACAGCACACATCTGCCCTCCTGAAGTTCAATGAAGTAAATAAGGCCAGAACTGTCACCATTACTATAGTAACCAGGACGACAAGTGCCACCATCATCACTGTGCTCTCCACCTTCTGCCATGCAAAGAGTTTCTATTTCTGAACCACCCAGAGTGTGAGAAGGAGGAGGCCCTGGCATTTCCTACACCACTAACTTCTCTAAATCAGCCACACACACACACAAAAAGAGCTTAAAAAATATTTCTGATCTAATTTTATTATAAGAAAAGGAAAAGTCACTACTGGTTCCCTGATCCAATGTCACAATTGTCACGTATCTCAGAGACTTTATACGCCTTTAGTGTCCAAGAACTCAGAAAAACAGAAGTGAAATATCAGAGAGACAGTACCCAGAAGTCAGGATCTGGGAGAAGTCCAAGGGTAAAGTAGGAAATTCAAACACTTTCATCATCCTCTTGGGATGTCAAGCAGCTTTTAGTTTTTATTCCTCATCAACAAGCACCGATGAGATCGATGGAAAAGCAGAAACAACCTTCTTAAATGAACAAACAGAATGACTCTTCCATCAGGAACCAGAGAGGTGGTTTTAGTTGCTGCTGTCTTTAAATAATTACCAAAGAGAAGTTGGCAGTAATGTTCAAAGAATTTTTTTTCCCCACTGTTCAGTCATTTCTCACTGCCTGTGAAATCTAAACCCAAACAAAGAGCAGTAACAAAAAACTAAACAGGGCTTCAGTAAGGTGGTCAGAGGAAAAGAGAAAGATGTGATGGGCAGGAAAGTTATTCCAGGCACTGGCCAAATAAGTCCTGCTTCATGTGTATGGATACTTTTAAGTTAAAGTCAGTTTACAGGCTATGGAAGGATGCCTCAAGGGCATCTGGCAATACCTATAATTCTGCCTGTTCACTTGACACACCCTTGAGCATTCCTTCCTTTTTAAACCTTTCACTTCTCTTGGTTCCCTGAGACACCCTCCTGGGTCTCCTTCTACCTCCCCAGTCTCCTGCATGTGGACACTATCCCAGGATGGTTTCAGCCACCTTTACCTTAAGATTCCACTTCTCATCCTTCTCTTTTGCCCCACCTTCAAATAGCACTTTCATAAACATGAATTTTTAACTTAGACTCTCTTGGATTTGAACAAGTTTTTCCATCGACATCCCCTTCTCAACAATTGAAGTGATCATATTGTCACTCTTTGTGTAGAAAAGAGTCAATACAGTAATCCTGAGACTCCTAACCTTAGAAGGGCTGTTGGCAAGTTTGGGAAACCTGGATATCAGAAGGGTTTCCCCAGTTCCCAGTATAGTTAAGAGTGGCATGCTGGGCCTAAACTGTTGTGCTAAGTGGTCAGCTGAACACCCACTTTCCTGCTCGGAGTCTGGAATTTTGGTCTGTGCTATACAGAGCGTGTTTATGTGAACAGGTCTCATTAAAACCCTGGGCACCGAGTCTGTCACAAGACTGGTAGATGTTTACCTGGGGTTCGAAGCTCACGGCTAGAGGAATTCAGCACCTCCTGAGGACTCCACTGGGCAAAATCCCTGGGAAGCTCGTGCCTGGCTTTTTCCAAACTCCTCCCTTCTCCCCCACCCCCGCACCTGTCTCTTTGCTGACACTGCCTTATGACCTTGGGCTGTAATAAGTCACAGATGTGAGCACTACTACATGCTAAGTCCCACCAATGAACCACTGAACCTGGAGTGCTCTTGGGGACCTCTGACACATGTACCTCCACCCAGGTAATGCRTCTTTCTGTCTCTTTCTGTCAATGACAGCACCTTTTCCCCAGAAGAGGACTTCTTCTGTGACACACACAAGTTCTGGACCAGCAGGCAACCATCCCAGTCCCCAGCACTTGAGAGTTGCAACCCCCCAACAGGAATAACTTGCAGAGGGGACACAAAGTCTAATGGGCCGGAGGATTAGATGTGCAGGGCTTTTCCAAGCTGATGCCAAACTATTCAATATAAAACAAGATGGTACCAAAGAAGACAAAAAATGACTTCACATTGCAGATACTTGAAAAATTCCTCAACATCCCTGAAGTCATTTTTGAGAARGCAGAAAGACGGATAAAACTTTAAACTAGAGCAACAATTTGTGATGCTGTGTGAAGGAAGGAAACAGCAGCTACGAGCAAGTGTGCTGGGGCCGAGTGGAACCTGAGCACACTGAACTGTCTCCCTGTGGACCCCACGTCAGCTAGGCATCCAGCTGCGTTACCCGGTCACTTCATTTTCTAACTTCTCTCTCCAGAGACAGTCTGCTTCCCCCTTTATTCTTCACTGCCACCAGCTCAAAATGCAAAATATGACACTTCTTTCTCTATAGATCAAGAAAATAAACTCCTCTTTTGAGCATTTTGGAACCATCCATAATATTCCCAATCAATTTTATTATTCCCAATTAACATCTATAACCCACTCCTTTCTGTTATAAAGCCCTGTCTATAGTGAGACGGGTCTAATTATATTCCACAACTTGATTTATTCTTTTCTAYTTCCATTTGTTGCCCCATGCTGTTTTCTCATCCCCAGCCCACCAGCAGGAAAGCCTACATCATTTCATATACAGTAGTACCTAGATTTTATGTCTACTACAAAATCTAAAAAACATTTTCCAAATCACCTCAATGCACATGGTCTCTCCTCCTAAACTAAGGGCCACCTGTACCTCCCCTTGCCACTAACAAATAGTTGCCCCAAGAAGCTGGTTATATGATGTGGAGATGTAAGGTCTTCAAATAAAATCCTTATTCTTAGCAACTCGGCACAGCTCTTCAAACATCATAGGCAAGATGTACACATTTTCTTATTAACTGAACCAGAAAGCTGTTGCTACGACATCATGAACCAATCCCAAACTTCATGCCATCCAGCCTTTAAACACCTAACCTGAGATACCTGAAAATGGGCATCCTCATTAGACCCTTCTCCAGGAAAAAAAAAAAAACAGCCCTATAAGCAATGCAAATATCGTAGGACTCTAAATTTTACTTTAAGTCTGCAATATTGGGAATGCTGAATGGCTAAAATCAATACAGTAAAATGCGTAACCTGACAGCCACAGCTGAGTGCTGTAATTCAAAATGTACTGAGTCTTAAATGCTTTTACCCAGGTACCCTTTCATCAACTTGTACATGAGATAGAATGTGAGGAGAGATGACAAAGCTGAGACCAGTTCTTGGATCTTCTTATTGGCTGGGTGATTGTCTTAGGTTTTTTCACTGCTGTGACTAAAAGACCCGACCAGAACAATCTGAGAGGAGGAAAAGTTTATTCAAGGACTCACGGTTTCCGAGGTCCCTAGACAGCCTGCTCCATTCCTCAGGGCCCAAGGTGAGGCTGAACATTAGGGAGGAAGAATATAGTGGAGGGAAGCAGCCCACATGATGATTAGGAAGCAGAGAGAGAGAGAGAGATTCCACTCTCCAGACGCAAAATATATACCCTAAAGGCACACTTCCAATGACCCACCTCTTCCAGCCACATCCTACTGGCCTTCAGTTACCACTCAGTGAATCCTGTCAAGGGATTAATTCACTGACTGAGTCAAGGCTCTCATATCCCAATCATTTCTCCTCTGAATCTTCTTGCATGACAGCTTTTGGGGGACACCTCACCTCCAAACCATAACAGTGATCTTAAGTAAATCACTTAACTCTTCTAACATCTTCCTTTACCTAAAAATGGAAATAATGAATTGAACCTCTCCTACACCTCCAGGTGGGTTATAAGCATCAAATGAAAAAAAATTGTATCTGGGAGTTCTTATAATGCCTTCAATAGGTGTGTGTGTTTATTATATGTGAAAGAGTAATTTCATCACTAAGTTCTAGCAGCAGGAACCTCTTCTACCACCTTGCTGAGAAAGCCTTCTGAGTGCACAATGTGACTTAGTTTAGGGTGAGTGTATTTGGCTGCTGCCCTCCAGTGAATACTGGCCTTCTCTTCCAGCTTCAGGGAGAAAACAGATGCAATCCACTGTGACACGGACAGGCTGATTCCAGAAACAAATGACAAGGCCAATCACAACTAGTCTGATGCTTATGCAGAATTGTGGGGGGGTTCCTTGGAAATGAGCCTGGTGGTCATCATCTCTGTGCTTTGTTTTGGATTCTAGTCTGGCAGAGTCACAGTGACCATGGCTTTGGGGTTATTATCTAACACAGACACATAAATAGAATCGCCTGAGAGCCTTCATGGACCAAGTTCCCATAGACCACCTGCCACGGGAGATTTTGGCCAGGCAAAAAGAACCAGATTCCTAATCACCCGTGTTAAAATGCTGGCCCAAATCTGCTATTATGGTACTGACAGATGCCTGGCTGCATTTAAAATGACTCTGATTTTTAAGGGCTATTTTGTTCCGCACTATCAAAGAGGCAAATAGGGACATGAGCCCAGATGCTTTGGATCCAACTGACTTCAGAATTAAAAATATCAAGAATACCGAGGGACAAAGTCTCTCTCCTGCTTCTTTGGGTTTTTTTCAATCACAATGAGCCTTTGGAATAAAGCTTATACAAGACTTATTCTGAGCAGCTAAAGCTCTGTGGCGTCTCTTTCTTCTGCCATCTAGGGCACATACCAAATGGCACTCAGTTTTACAGCCTTGGCTGAAACCGGAAAAAAAGAACCTTACCTGAAATAAGCTGAAATTATTTTCTCGTTTCTGTATTGAACTGAAGTTTGAAGTGGGGGGATCTCTTGACCTTAGGCGGATTCCCTCCCTGTGTGATTTGATCTTATCCTGCACATGTTGATACTTCACTTGCCTCCAAAACTAAGCAGCAATAAAATAAGCCTGTCCACATCCACCAGTGTGTGCAAAACTCATAACTGTTATTGAGGACAGGCCCAAGTGAAATATAAAATAAGATTAAATCAATTTACCTCCAGTAATATTTATCTTAAAAAGATGACTTCAAGCATTTTTGCTCAAATATT